AGAGAGGCTGGGTTCTGAAGGCCACTGTTACGGTTTATGTCTGGACTGTCCCCCAAAAGCCTCATGCTGTCATGGGGGCAGGTGTTTTGGAGGCAACTGAATCTAGAGTTTGTGATTAGTTCGTTGTCTAGTGCTAGGATTGAGGTGTAAATGCTATACTTGTCCTAGGGCAGGTAGCCTGCATACAATATAAGTTAGGAAAAGAGGTTTGCTTTTTCCCTTTGCTTTTGGTGTCTTCCACCACCATGGACTGTTGTCCTAGGCCATGTTCTACCCTGCCTTGGAGCCAGCAGCTTACAGACTGAAATCTCCACAAATAAACCTTTCCTCTTTAGCTTCAGGTATTGCATATTTTGTCTCAGCAATGAGAGAAAAGTAACTCATACCCTATAAGTGGAAGAGCAGGGATTAGAACCAGCCAACAACCCACGAGGGCTCACACTCTCCAGAAGGTCCTGCCAAGCCATCTCTGCCATTTACCCTGCATCAAGAATGTGTCTAAATTAGGTAGGGTAGATCTGTTTGGGGATCCAGCCATAAAATACATCACTATGGGTCAAACTCCAACAATCTATGGGCCATATGTAGGGAGGTATTCTGGCCTTATTGGCTTTTATATTGTTAGAATATATAAGATGAGTGGATAAATGCACTTGTCATGAAAAGTAGACAGAAAAAGAAATTCTACCAAAATGGGAGCTGTCCTCTACAAAAATTCAGAAATCAATGCCTGAATGCTAAGTGACAGTACTACAAGTAAACAGTGTTTTAATATATTTATTTATGTAATCCCACAAGATAGGCACCTTTCACTATCCTATTTAACAGACGAGAAAATGAAAGACAGAGAGGTAGAGACTGATAGGAAGTGGAAGAGCCCAGGTGAGAGCTTTACCACTCCACTTACTGTCAGGTACCTCAGCAGACAATTCCCACTCAACTTGAAAATGATATTTTGAGACAGAACATGAAGATAAATGAAAATGATCTTGCAATGGTGTAAAGCTAAGGCACCAAACAGCAAAGTAAAATAATTGAAAATGTCTTCCTCCTCTTTGAAAATATACTCATGACTGTATCTGGAATGATTTAAATTCAGTCTCACTACAGCATTAGCCCTGATACCTGTGGGAGTTCCAGTCGCAGTTAAAATAATGATGCTGCTATTTATAGAGGTCTTCATAGAGGATGGAGACGGAAAGATGGGTTTGGGTGTATTTGCATGTGGGTGCTCACCATGTCAATCCACTAACCCACACACAATGAGACACTAGTTAGACACCCTTTGAAATGGAAAGGATGATGGTAGACAGCAGCCCACTCCTGATCAGGTGCCTGAAATAGGCATGGAGGAAAGCACAATCTGAACCCAATTTCCTATGTTCTAGGCTGCACATGCACTTCCCTCTCATTCCACTCCACAACCCATAGGAATCCAGGCCCTCAGATCCCGGTGCACATATGAAGGATGAGATGGGATTACACTTAGGAGACTTGCACCGAGAATAATGATGGAATGTCTTTTGTTAGTGATTTTTTAAAAAGTGTGAATCAGCTAGCAAAACAGGTAAGTTAATGTTCATTTTAACTCTAGAAGACACCCTCTATGATTGCCTCCATTTGAGATCACATCGATTGCCCGTTAACTTGAAACTGCATTGGAATGGATGCAACAATCACTTTAATTTGGGGCAGTAACCGTTTACTGAAGTAGCATTTCCAAGAATAACTTTCTGAGGCTTTCCACTCAACAAACCTTGATACAACGGGGGGCAGTGGTGGTATACAGAAGGTGTGCAGTCCTGGAATAAGGACATGCAGGTCATGGGCAGACAGGTCACTGCTCTGAGGTGCAGCACACATGGTGAAACAGGTATTTCAAGAGAAGGGCGTGGCCTCTCGAGCCCCTGTCTATGAGCCTGTGTGACCTTGAGCAAGTTTCTTCATCTCTTTGGCTCTTTGTTTCTTCATTTGTGAAAAAGGAACAGTGTTAGTACCACCCCACAGGGTTGTTACGAGAATTAAATGGGTTACTAATGTAAATAGTGCTAAGCACTATGTGCCTGCTTCATGAAGAAAACAGAAGTACAGGTAAGAACTTTGGTAGGGAAAAGGGAGGTAACTGAGCAGAGATCTCCTAAATTAGGGCAAGGCAGACATACTAGCCACTCAGCAGGGGAAATAGGAATGCTAAACCTTCATTCAGGACGCTCAAAGGGAAAGTTATTTTGTGCATATTTTTATTACATTCTGCATTTAGCTTCTATTTCCATTTGTCCCTAGTTCTTTCCCTCTTTCATAGGGTCCCATTTCCTGTTTAGTGAGTATGGAAACTAATCACAGAATATGAAATAAAGCTACAGTTTAGAATAGCAAACTCATTTCTGAAAGTACTAACTTAAAGGGAGAATAGGATCTTGCTCTTGATATCTTTCTAGGACACTATGAACATGATTAAGGAGAAATTTCACACAAAAAGGTTTTTGTTTGTTTGTTTGCTTCTATTTAGGAAGCCCTTTGCCAAGCTTAAGAAGTCAGAAACAAAAACAACCAAACAAACAAGAAACAGAATTGAAGACACACCAGAATAGTTTTGAAGTACAGGGCAGTTCTTGAAGAATTACAAATAACAACTGAATGTTTTCCATTGTGGTCCAATGAAATTTCAGCAACTTGCTGAAAATTCCTATTGCTCTAGTAGTTCTGTGCCTGTAGTTTGGGTATTTTACATATGTGTATCCATATATAGGAGCTTCTTTTTTCATAGACACCCACATGCCCTATAAATGGCTTTGAGTACTTGTCTAAATAAATAAGCATTTCTTAAAAATAAAATGTTCTGACCAAATCCGTTGCACAGAAATGAGGTCTGATTTATTGGAAGCAAAGAGAAAATATGCTTTGGTCCAACGATTTACACATAAGCAATAATTGTTAAACGTATTAAAAATGCAATGGACTTAAATTTGATTACTTTTTTACTTACACTGTTCATATTTTATGTGTATAATATATATTATATAAAATCAGAAAATATAGATGAAGCCAACTTTTTTCTTTAGTTTTTTGGACAAGACTCACTTTTTAGTTCAGGTGGGCCTTGGACTCACCATGTAGTCCACAAAAACCTCAGAATTATGGGAACCCTCCTACCTTAGCATCTCAAGTGTTGGAATTACATGCATGTACTACCACAGTTTTTCAAAGCCAAAATATGTTACTATTAAAACAATCATTTTGGTGAAGTTATTACAAGGAAACATGGTTGCCAAATTGTGTAGCCAGAGATGTCTTATAGACTTTATATAAAGATTTGGTTCTGTTTCCTAAGCCAAGCAATGGGGAGCATTAGATGAGAAAAAGAAGTAAAAAACTAGGCGTCAAAAGGCCTGCACCTGGCTTATGGTATAATTGGATAGAGCAATCATGAGTACATCTGTGAGCCTCACGTCCCACCTATCAGCATGAATAGAAAGGACTTCACACAGTCTGGGGACATAGTCTTACTATAGGGATTTTGGATGTGAGCCTCTGCATCATATACCGCAGCTCGGAAAAATCCTATTTTTCCTAACTAGACTGAAGAATCTTCCAAATGTTGGTAATGTACTTTCACAGGAAGCCTTCCCAAAGGATGGGGTGACTGTTCTTACCCCATATCACCTTCCAGCAACCCAGAGCTAACTATTTCTCTTTTGCTTGAGCTATAAATGAGCACTGTGAAGAACTGGGGCCTAGGGTCACTGTAGCTGTCCTACTCAGGCTGCTGTCACTTATCAGCAGGTCATATAAATCCTTAGGATCCTGCCATGTGTGCAGAAAGAGGCACCAACATTGCATTTCCTTCTTTCCTCCCAATGGTCAAAATCCAATTTCTATGCAAATGTTTTGATTATAACGTTCTTATTTTTAACTGGGAAGATTTGGAATCACTGCTATAAGTTGCACAGAATTCTTCTGGAATAGAAATGAGTTTTCTCATTCTTATGTATTAAGCCTTATGAAACCTAAATGAGACTTATTCCTGGTCTCCCAAGGACTAGCAAACTTCACAGAAACCAAGGTCAACCTTGAACGTCTAAAGCGCCAGGAAAAAGATGAAGCCAAACTTCCTAAATTGGCACCCACAGTTTAGAATACCTTGATTTATAAAAGTTATCAACTGATCTACAAAATGTTATTTCCAATGTCTTTATTAGAAGAAAGGACAACTGAGACAGTAATCTCAGGGGAAGAGGGAAGGAAACTTGGTTCTCTTTGGATTCTCACAATTCACATGAGACTGCATCAAGCATAACTGCAAATCCCTGATGGATGCATAATCTGTCCTTACTTTTTCCAATCTCTCCTGAGGTGTCACGCTTTGAGAGAAATGATTGCCCCATATAAATGCAGCCCCTTTCCTGCTTTAATTATCTTCACACTCTAGGTAGTTCTGTATATGCATCAGTCCATGGGTTCTCACTAGGAAGCTTCTGGAGAATGGGAGAGATTAATTTGCTCATGGGTCTGTCTCCACTGCTGAAAACAGTACTCACATAGGTACGCAGCAAAATGTTAAAGGAATAAATGTCAGAATCCCTGCAGGGGTGAATTATTTAATAAGCATTTACTTAAGTCTTAGCCGAAATCACCCATCTTGCACCTTGGGAAAGCAGAGACAGCTATTGTAACACAGAAAGTGAATCAATCACATCCTCACCAAGCATTCTTACATCTCAGCCTCCACGAAGAACATTTCTACAGTAAAGTCTTATGGGTATTTTTCCATCACCATTAAAATGGACAGGATGTCCAACTCTGTGACATACTGACGTCAACTCTGTGATGCTTGAATGAAGATGGGTTTTACCAGTCACCCCATTTTACAAAGGAACATGCCTCCATAGGACCTGTCTTGGTTCTAGCTAATAGGGGTTCTCAAAAAGGTAGGGGCCTGCCAGAGGGAGCTACCTGGGAGCTACAAGAGGATTCATGTCAGCGCATCATGGGGCACTTACTGCTGGAGCAGGTGGCTTCTTTAGGGCTGGAAGACATCGGCTGGGCACAGAGCTGGCAGAGGCAGTCTCTCCCATTGAATGTCACTCGGTCCCCGGGTGGAAACGGGCGCCTGGAGACAGAAAGATATACCCCTCCAGATTATTCCAGCAATTTCATTTCTTTTCCTTACTCTTTCTGGTTGCTGCCCTCAGGTACAAATTTATTTCTTGGAGGAGCATCAACGGAGATGTCTGAAATGCAGCCACGCCCAAGCCAGCCATCTGGCTCTGGTACAAACAAACAAACAAACATGCCTCATTATGGAGAAAAAGAATGCACAGGGTCTATAGCAACCTGACAGAATGGTTTAGTCCACTTGCTAGTGAAGGGAAGTCCCAGCAAGCCACCAATCAGGGCATGCAAAACAGTAAATTTCCAAATGGAAAATCTTCATAAAGAAACATTCTAAATGCCGTAAGTGCCAGCTGAGGTTCAGGGCACAGCCCACTGGTTATTGGCCACGCGTGAACCCTCCAGCTCCCGAGGACCATACCTAGAGTTCCATGATGCCTGTGCTGAGCTAGACTTGGTTCTTTCTGGACATTGAATGCTGCCCAGTGCTGACCATGTCCCTTACAGACCGAGAGGAATGGCACGGGCTATAAAAATGTTTAAGAACTAGCAGCAGCTTCTTTTCAGAAAGGTAATTTCCTGTCACCCTGGACATTTAAAATAGCAGCACATTTTACAAAGATATTACATCCTGCATGTAAGCTCATGGTTTCTCCTCTCAGGTCACCAGGCCTGAAATCAAAGTCATTTATTAACAAAGATACGGCAGTTTCCAGGCCTGCTGACTTGAACTGGCCAAAGTGCCAGGAATGTTCATCAACGTGAGTTTTTCAACATCTGAAGTAGTCAGTTAAGAAATGTGAGGCTAGGGGGCTGGGGGTCTAGCTCAGCGGCTTAAGCACCTGCCTTGAAAGTAGGCAGTCGTGAGTTCGATCCCCGGTACCGATAAAAAGGAAAAAGACAAAAAAAACAAACAAACAAACAAAAAAAAAAAAAAAAAAAAAAAAAAGAAATGTGAGGCTCACAGTCAGATATCACAAAGCTAAGTTAGAAGCATCACTTGCAAGCGAGCCCAAGCTTCTGACACTGGTTTTCACTTTTGCAGCTGCTATTTTTTAAGTAACCCCTTGGTGAACTAACAGCTGGTTACTATCAGTATGCACAGGTAAATCTGGACTTACCTCCTCAGATGTGCTTGCTGTTGCTAGCCAGAGGGTTTAGATTCTTACACACTGGTACCTTGGTTCATGGACTTAACTCTTTCCATGATTCTGGTCACATTTGATTCGGTTCTTGTCCAATTCATGTTGTGATCAGAATCGTGAAAAGAATTAAGTTCATGAATGAGGTACCACTGCGCCTCCAAATATTAAAAATTTTAAGTGGTGTCCTAAGGAAGGCCCAGAGCAGGTACATGCCTTGCCTAGGTTGGGCAGTGTGGAGGCTGGGCCACAAGCAGATGAAGATGGTGTTCTCTAACTTTGGAACCTGCCCTGTCTTTAATAATCAGCATCAATCACTTTCTGGTGATGTCAGTGGGCCAATGATTTTATGATCATTAATTAAAATGAAACAAGTCTCAAAGCCATCCTGAAGGGGGTGTCAGAGCTATGGGCCCATCACAACAACAAGGTTCTTTGCCCCTTGATCAGGCCAAGGCCTGGGTGAGGCCAGTGGGGATGTGGGGCCCAATATATTCAGAAGCACTCACTCTCCAGAGCTGACTGGTACTTGCATGATGTGAAAACGAGCACCCCTTTACATGCTGCACCCCACATGCCTTACTTTGCTCACCCGAGTTCAGTATCTCCTTCTAATCCATGCTTATTTTTTCAGACTCAAATCCTACATAATGCCCCACGGCATAAGCTCAACCTGGTGCTCAACATGTGGCCAGGCCTTCTGAACCTGTAATTTTCTTACTTTACAATGACCCTTCTCAGACTTTTCCCTCCTGCCTTCTGTATCCTCTGCCCTCACAGGTTTGCTTTCAGTATAAATGAATGTTTATAACAGGAAAAAATAAATAAATTTAGAGTCAGAAAACCTGGGTTCAAATCTCTGCCTTCTAAGGTTAACCCGCATGAGTCTCGCACTCTGAGACTCTCATAAATAGAGCTAGTAGTTCCAGACTGCCTTCACAGAATTGCTAGGAGGGATAAATTAAATTCTATGTGAATGCAATTAGCAAACCATAAAGAAGATCCCAATTTAGACAGACTTATCATTTGGAAGCAGCAGCTGCCACTGCATAATACAGGCTGAGCAATCTTAATCCAAATATCCCAAATGCTCCACATTCTGAAGTGTTTTGAACACTAATGTAATGCCATTGTAGAAAATTTCACACCTGACCTCACGTGATGGGTCCCGGGCAAAATGCAGGTACACTAAAAACACTATACAATATTTTCAGTCTATTAGATATACTGCATATGAGAAAATTAATGTCGTTTTTAGACTTGGGTCCCTCCCCTAAGATACCTCATTATGTATATATAAATATCCCCCAAACCTGGAAAGATTATGAACTCAAAGACACTTCTCTCAACCTGTAGCAACCCTGAGCACCTCTGGTGGCTTGAAGGTCCAGGAATAGGTTCTCATTAGCTGCTTTTGCCCACCGTTACACTGACCTTAGAACAGTAATCTCTCCGGGTCAGAACAGATGGCTATCTGGACCAGCATCTTCCTACTGGGGAGAGTCACATCATAGTTAGGAATCCTCCAAAACCAGTAAATCAGGATGGGCTTCGGTATTTTTAAAGGCACCACAGCCTCACCAGACCCAGGAGATATTAGTAATCAGCCATCCTTGGGGATCACTCATATTTATTGCATAACACCCTTCCTGCCACTTCGTGGGTTTTGTTTGTTTGTTTGTTGGTTGGTTGGTTTTTAAATAACAGATGCCTCTGGCTTAAAAAAAACTCAGTCAAAAAGATTTCAACTCAGCCCAGGAAGGGAAACCAGATTGGGGCTCCTCAGCAGCTACAGGTCACACCATGGAAAAGGAGATGTTAGGGTAGAACTTTACTTTGACTAAATAATAAAACTATGCTGCTTGTGAATCTCAAACTTTTAAAATTATGATTTTAAAAACAGCCACTCAGAAATGGGTTAATCTTTATAAAAAACACAAGGGAGTAATACCATAAAGAAAGATAAATGTAGGTCAATTGTAGGAAAATGGGTGCAGATGGAGGCCATAATGTTGAGACACACAGCATGGTTTCTCTTACATGAGAGACTCAAAGTAAAAATAAAGAGCAAAAAAATGACAGAGTAGGAAGTAGGGAGACAGACCTTTCTCAAAGGGGCAGGTGATCAAGAGACAAAAGGAGCAGGGTTGAAGAAAAGACTTAAGATGTTCCATATACATGCTTCAACACTACACAAGGAATGCAAGCATTAGGTGCTGCCAATGTGTACTAATAAATTAAAATGTAATTTTACGACAATATTTCATCTGACTTACAACTTATTAGTGTTACTTGTTACTAGTGTACAAAGTTAAGCCTTCCTTACAGCATTTGCATCTTTCTGGCTTAGAAACATGAAACACTGCAAAATAAAACATCTCCCTCTGAAAGGTAGTTTCGGACCCATGCCTAGCAAGACAGAGCCCCAGAGCACAGGGCTAGAGACTGTGACGAGAACCAATCAGTTATGTCGCTGATTCTTATAGGCCAGTCTCCTAGTTAGGGGCATCAAACCTATCTGTTTTAGAATGTGTAGCACCAAAATACAATACCACAGTTTTGCCATACAGTTTTTCTTTTTCTCTTAGACTCATCATTTTAAATCAAACTCATTTATGCAGCTAAGATTTAATGCTGACAGATGACAGACACCTAAACAGCAGGCTCTGGCAAATTTCCCCCTAAAAGACCACACTGTAAGTATCTCCTCAGGCTTCGTGAACCATACGGTCCCCATCACTGCTTCTCTGCCACTGTAGTCCCCACGGCAGCCTTGGATAGACAAACAAATGGGTGGGGTGCATGCCAGTAGGACTTTTTTACAAACATAGGTATTAGGCCTACTTTGGTCTGTTTGCCAACTCCTATAATACAGAAAAAAGAAATGATTTTAAATGCCCATGCCACATACACAAGAACTCATATTTCCAAATAAGCTTGGCCCTCTGAGCAGCTGTCCAGTGCTCCACCAATGATTTTATTACTCAGAATAGTTTGAGGCCTTGAGCTGCCTCCAGACTTGGTCTTAAGTCCCCTGAAATCAGTCATGCCACTTTGTGGAGGACATCACATATAAAGTTCCATAACTAACTTACACTTCGACTCACATTGAGAATTCAGCAGGAAGAGGCAAAACAGAAAAGGAGTCTTTGAAGAATAAGTACTACTTATGACAAAGGAAGACATTCCAAGATTTCACTCCTGGAGCCCGAGTTTTGCTGCCTGAGGAAGCCACAGGCTTGGGGAAGATGATCACTTACTTGCAGATGGTACAAGCAAAGCAGTTGGGATGGTAGGTCTTGCCCAGGGCAGTCACCACCTCGCCCTCCACGAACTCCCCACAGCCATGGCATCGAGTCCCGTACATCCTCTGGTAGTCCAGGGTGCAGAGATACTCCCCGTTCTTTATGAAGAAGCCCCCTTGGGCTAGGTCACAGCCACACACTGTGGAAAGACAGTTCGCATCTGGTTATTGTCTACCAAGCTACTGGGTACGGCTGCTTTCCACTGAATGCTGGCTGCTCACTCTGATCTCAATGGTTTGGGGCTAGGGGAGGGGACTGGTACAAAGAGCTATTTATTGTTGGGCTCTGCTTTCTCGCTCCCCTCCCTCCTCTTGGGAACTATGCAATATCTCATCCAAGTAAAATTCACTGGCTGGGTCTCAAGGGCTTTTGTGATACATCTAAGATTCAGAAGTAACTTAACAGTCTCTGATGGAAAGATACGCTGAGTTCAGGCTGGCTCAGATAGGAACAAAGGTGTCCCTGGCAGGCCCATTAGGAAAGGTGCCCACTGCTTGCCCATGCAGCTGCTTGGTTTGGGCCAAGATTGTTACCAAGTTGAGTAACCAATTCCTACTACCCCAAAAGCAGTAGCTAAAATTTCCAAAAGCTATTTTTTCATACTCTGGAAATACTTTTCCATAGCTATGAAAAAAAAAATCAGACAGTAATTTTTCTCTTTGTGCAGCAAATAGCATACACTAATTATTTATATATTATACAGAGGGGAAAAAAAAACCAGACAGGCAAAGAGGAAAGAAAAGGAATCATGTCTAAGACAAAAAAACAAACTGTCATTCATGACCTCAGCTCATGCAAAAGAGGATGCTCTGTCATGTCTGGATTTTGGTGTCTCTTTCCACATTGTGCAGTTGTGGCATTGGGAGACGGTATAAACAAACAGGCTGTACTGGTCTGCATGTCCAGACAAGACCCAGAAAAGGTCATGACGACTTGTCCACAAATAAAACCTAAAGGATCCCTTAACAGTAAAGATTTTTCCCTGCCAAATGACTAGGAAAGAACAGAGAAAGCTGGGAATCTCCAACATTAATGTCCCTATTGCCAAGATTAGGTGACTCTTCTAAAATTAAGGGCCTTGGGCAAGGAATCCAGTATTATTCTTGTGTATTCTTGCAACCAGGTAGGAAAAACATTGAGTTGGGGCTGGGAGACACAGCTCAATCATGAAGTCCCTCTCTGAAGGATCTGTAACACTTTCAGGGTTCCCCTGGTCAGATCCCATGACTCATGAACGCAACTAATGCACTAGTGCTGAGCACAGCAAGATTCTGGCAGGATAACTAGTCCCCTTGCCTGGTTAGCACTCTTTACTAACTGCAAGTTCCTAAAGACATTCAAGGTGACAAAGCAGCTACAAATGAACTTTCCACTCGGACTCACTGGTCTTTGTTTAGATCAACACTCCACAGATATCACGTTCTTCTTTGCAATTCATAATTAAGTAACTCAAGATTATGGCCAGAGTCCATCAGGCCTGTAACTGACCACCCTATAAATACTACTGTGATCCTATTCTCTGGAAAACAGCTTGTTGGCCACCTGCTGCCTCCTGTCACCTGCCAGCATCTCCTCCTGCCCCCATGGTTCTCACACCTGCTTCTTCCTCACCAAACGGGTTATGGGGGAGCCCAAGGAGGGACTAGCCTCATTCTGACCTCAATTCTTCCAGTGACAGGAAATGATGTTCTGAGATAGGCAGCCAGAGAATGAATTAGAGTTTCCTTCTGTATTTTTCTAGGTACATATGTTATTATTTTTTTTATTTAAAGAAAGAAACAAAACAGAAAAAGCATGGAGACACTACATAATTTCAAAAAAAAACAGTAAGAAATTACTAGTTGATAATTACATATTGTCTTCTTAGAAATAGTTGTTACAAAAGTAAAGCATACAAAGTGAACATTCAAATAGCAAGACTGCAAACAGTTCTGTTCAATGATCCAACAAAAACTTAGTAATACGGTTATCAATCCTACACACTTAAACATACATGCAGTTATATCCTTTAGAGCACTTTATTTTCCTCTCTTTTTTATAATAGCAATTACACATTTTGGGTTTTATTACTCCTACATTTCTTATTACTTTTTAAACTAGAGACACAATGTGATATTTATAAATATGATTCTTATTTATTTCACTTATGAGGATAGTCTCAAGTTGTCTCCATTTACCTATGAAGGCCTCAAGACCATCCTTTTTATAGCTGAGTAATATTCCAGTGTATAAAAATACCACATCCTTTTCATCTACTCTGCGGTTGATGGGTATCTTGGTTATTTCCAAGATTTAGCTATTACAAATTGTGCTGCTATGAACATGGGTGCACATATATCACTGTGATATGACCGTTTCAGTTTTTCTGGGAAAATACCCAGGAGGAGAATAGCTGGGTTGAAGAAACTTCCAATGCTAATCTTCTGAGAATTCTCCATACTGATTTCCATAGTGGCTGCACCAGTCTACACTCCCACCAACAGTGGAGCAGTGTCCCCCCCGCCCAGCCTCGCCAACATTTGTTATCAGTTGATTTCTTGATGGCAGCTATTCTTTCTGGAGTGAGATGAAATCTCAGTGCTGTTTTAATTTGCATTTCTCGAACGATCAGTGATGGTGAACATTTCTTCATGTATTTATTTGCCCATATGTTATTATTTTTCCCTCAGTGATAAGGTGCGTTATAGACAAGAGTTATCATCTTTACTCTTTTGGAGTCTTCAGGAACTTCCAACCATGATTATCTGCTGGATATACAAGTTTTAAAATTGAATCCTATGTCAGGTTGGGCAGGTTCCCACTGATTTCACACCTCCATGACATCAGCCACTCTGATGACTCAGTCTTACAAACTTAGGTGTATTCGCAAAGCCCTGAGAAATGTGAAAACTTTGCTTTTGGATCACTAATCCTTTCCTTTACTCTCACCTCTCATCAAACAATCTTGGTATAAAAATTCACGGACCTTTTATTAAAAAAAAGATCTGGTGGCAACAGGGTAATCTTTATGCCAATAGAGGTCAGCAGTAAGGGTTTTAAAGCACACACTGAATGTTTCAGAAATTCTTTGTGTCTACTGTTTCCTCAAGGCACTTCTGTTCAGCATCTCTGGTTCACATGACTCTGGTTCACATGACTTTGTGCTATGGACATACACTCTTCTCATTAAAGCCTAGTTTTTATGAACCTAGCATAGCTTTAAAAATGACTTTGTATTACTGCTGAGAGATGCCAAACTGAGCCCCCCTGAGATCTGATTTGCTTTTCCCCTAAATTCAAAGCAGTGGTGGCCAAGATGGGTTACCAAACTGTCCCATTTAATTCTTGGGCTTTAAACGACAGGGAAATCAGTGTATAAAGAGGCAGAAGTCCTTGCAGGCATACCAAACAGCAGTGAGAGGGAAAGCTCATGTAGCTGACACTTCTTATTATATTTCCTAGGTCTGGAGTGGCTGTGACAAATTTCAAGCCATTTTGCATTCCAGAAAAGCAGATTAGTCTCAGGGCCCTAAATGTATATAACTTCTACAGATGCCATCTCCTTCCCTCAGAGCAGATCTCAGCCACTCTCATAGCTTCAACTAGGACTTTGTGCAATCAGTGATCTCTGCTGTGACTTTACAAGACAGCACGCTTCTTGCTCAAACTGAGCATTTTCCAAAGAGGCTCTAATCTTTCAGCTTCTCTGCTACCTTCCCCCTCAAAGCTTCAGATGTTTTTCTGTTCCCTCTCTCAATAAATTAGTAGCAGCAGTCACTTCCTCATTCTTGACACCAACATTTTCAACTGGCCAGTAAATCCAATCTGCTTCCCTAACAAAGGGATTCCCAGAGTCAGGCTTTCCTTCTCTGTTTTATGACTGTCACCCCTGAGATAGTGGCCCTCCACATCACACTCCTGCACTGAAACAATTTTGCTGTCATCATGTTTGTACTGGCAAAACAAAAAACAAAAACAAAACTGGGCAAAAAAAGAACCAGATGTCTGAAAACAACCTGAATTTCTACCCACAGTGTAGCTGAATAAATTATATGTCTCGTCTGTGAAACTGGCATTCAAAAGACTGAACTAGATCAACAGATAAAACCAGCATTCAGTTTGTGATGTATCATTAAGTGAAAAGAACAGAAGTCACAGAGTAAAGAATTAAAATAATCTTATTTTTAGAAAATTGTACCTACATTTTTGTAAATAAGGAAAAGAGAGTTTATATACACATCATCCTCCTAAAAGGAATTATTAACTTTTTTCATAAACCTATGTGTTGCCTTATGCTTAATTTTCTTTGAAATTGTGATGCCATATACAAAATTTACCAACCTAATCATTTTCACGTGGACATTCAGCGCATTAACTCATCTTGCTCCCAGGAACTCTCCATTCTGTCTTCTGCATGAATTTGACAGCTCTAGGTTCTTCCTATCAATGGAAGCTCACCTTGTTTAACAGAATGTGAGGAAAAATTACCCAAAACTTAGTAACAAGAGAAAAGGAGGAAAGCATGTTCTTTCAACAGCTTAGCGGGATTACTTCATTATCAGGGGGAACAGATCGGTGTTTGACAAGCTCTGTACTGCTGATTAAAGGTTCAGACTTTTCAAGCTAATGCTAACTCTGTCCAGAGGAGATGTAGGTGATTTCTGCCCAGTGTTATAATCTTGTTGCAGCACTAATTAGTATTCTATCTCTCCAGCCATCTCAGCCTCACACTCTTTCCTGAATGCCCATATGACCCTTTCCTTCAGTTCTCCTTCAAGGCAGCTTCACCACCTTGCTGGTTCCGCCACTAATAAACCGAATAAATCTTTGATATGTCCTCAGTCGGCACTTGCATGAGAGTCATAGATTTAACTTTTTAAAAAAGTATATTATCTAAAAAAAATGAACATTAAACAAATTTTTAACAATATTGTACCCATTTTATATTAACAATTTAGTAAATATTATAGCTGATGGCATAAAGCAAAAACTTCCCATCTTTATAATCATAAAAATCTCAATTAGGTCAAAGGTTAGCATGAGATATTTAGATTCCTTACTTTAGGGGCTCCATTTGTCTTTGCTCTAGTTGAAAGTTAACATAAACCCAGGCAAAAATATGGGTGGATTCATTTCATTTAAACATAGGGCTGCTAGGAG